AGCTGGGATCATTTGAGCTCAGTTTTTTTTCTCCTGCCCTGGCAGGGGGTCGGACTTGAAGATCTATAAGGTCCCTTCCTACCCTACTTCTATGATTCTATAACACACCCCTTCCTGTTTACTATATAGAGCACCTGGGCATCTAACTCAGGGCTGTTGATTCCACATTAGGGACATAAGAGGTATCTGATGTCCTCTTTTGAATCTAGCCCTCTGGCCTTCATCTCTTCTGTACCTTAGTTCTGCAACAGTAAATGGGATACAGCTATACTTCCTTGCCACTTGGGGTTGGTGGTGTGATCATGTACTAGTCCTAGGCTGCCATTGGCTATCTCCTGTGCACCCTTGTCAGAGCAAATGACTATTAAGGGGGGTGTAGGTATGCATGTGTGTGGAGGGTCAGTTTCTGGCTACGGTGCATACGCTTCAGGAACTTTGGTTCCTTTCATTTGTGGTGCAGTTATCTTTTATTTTGGCATGACCTCTTAAAATTGTAGCTTAACAAATGTTAAAACTGAAAAAATTAGTACTGGCAGTGGAGAATCTGTTGCAGTGTTTGTTGGCAGTTTCAGAGAAGAGCCAGACCCTTGATCAAAATGATCAAAACAGTTGTTGTTATTTATTATTCATTGTATTATGGGAACAGCCTGACTGAGATGAGGGCTGACAAGACTATCTAAACAGTAAGAGATGCCCATGCCCTGAAGAGTTTATGATCTAAGTAAACAATACTGACACGGGGCTAAGGGTGAAGAGATACTAAAAGGCAGATTGAAAAGCTTAGTAACTGGCAAAGGCCATAGTTCTATAATTTATATTAAAAATATTTTCCTAAGTGTTTGTGGTTGGGAGGGGGCTATGGAAATGAGAAGAACGAAAGATCATATTGCGGGGTGGGTGAAGACAAGGGGAGCATGGAATGCAAGTGCACTGAGGATTGAGCAAAGGCCTGCGGAAAAATGGCAGCAAATAGCTTTGGAAAGAGGCTGCCCAGAGTAAAAACTGAGCAATGCAGTGGGGCAACACTGATCACATATCAACGTCAGCAGGTTTCTTTGAGCTGCTTGCTTGGGTCTGTTTTGGCCATCCAGGAACTTGGCTAGGCATTCTCAAAAGGTATCCTTTCTTCCCCATCCTCAGACAACTGGTAATAGGAAGAGGGCTGATGGCACTTCCAGGGGGTGCTCTGTACAATTATGGAAATCTACAGTGAAGGTTTCCTTATTTCTACAAAAGGTTTTAAAGAATAATACCCTGTCCTTCAGATTCCTGACATACAACAGGTGAATATGTATCTAGGTCAACTGGAGTGAAAATCTTGGAGCTCATGTATATTAATGAATGTCAGACTTAGACGGTGGCAGAGACTATAGGAATCACTGCACTGGTTGCTGAAATAAGGACAGTAGCTCTTTTAATAATGACAGGTGAGGGAGAAGCCTGTCTGAACTCTACTACTTGGCGAGCTATGTCTGCTAGGATCAGTGAGGTATATATTGAGGCTGGCTAGCTGACAGATGACTTTGCCAGATACTGACATAGCCAGACTCAGTTCTTCATGCACTGCTAAAATAATAGCCTTCTTTGCTCTGTAATCTCTTACTGTTCTTTTATTTTTCCATATTACTAACATAGACAGAAAGGTGAGCTTAGACATCAGCGAGCAAACTTCAATAGGAATTGCCAGTGCATTGTGCACAATCCTGCATTTACAGGGAAACAGACTGGGTGATTAAGGATTATTTTTTATCTCTAATTTCTATGATTTTTGTGGCTATTAAAAAAGAAAATTAAAAAATAGAAATGATTTAACTAATAGAGAAATGACCTAGAAAAATTGGACAAAGAAATGAGGTCCAGTTCTCTTTTAAAAGACAGAGAGTGTGTCAGCATGCAAACAGAATCAGAATCATAACTGAGTTATAAAATCTACTTGCGTAAGTATTGTAGAGTGTCTTCAGTGTGTCTGCATGGTCTGTTCAGGATTTTAGTCTGTATCAAGCTCTGTGCTGCAGTGGCTAGACTGCTGTTTGTACCTGAGCTAGTTCAATTCAGGTCTCTACACTGCACTGTCTACCACATAGATACAGAATACAGCCTGATTCAACAGGGTATTTTGCATAGACATGTGGTTCTCAACTATTTTAGACTCAAGATACCCCTCCATAACTTTTTCTAAGTTGAGCCTTACCCCAGTTGAGAACGACTGGCTTCAAATTTACTTGGTGTGTTTTGTCACCTTATGCCTCTTGAATCTTATAGAATGCAGCAGGGGTAAAAGCAAATGCATTTAACATAATAAAATTGTTGCATTAAAAATGATGTTAAAAACTATACATATAAAGGAATACTCTTGATATTCTCTGTAGATTGTTTTAAATCGATAAATGTATTTTTTAATCTGTTCTAGAATTCTTCTGGGTAGTTTAATAATCTCTAAAAGGAATATTCCTTATCATTACTTTAAATAAGATTTATCTTCTAGCCTATAGTACCTTTACCCTTCAAATAGTAAGCTCTGTTGTACACAATTCTGTTGTTCTCCCATTTATTATTGTAAATTAAATCATTTATATGAAATGCTGATTCAGGGAAATGATTTATTTGGGCTAAAATGCACGGGCTACCACAACGACTTTAGCTTGGTACTCCATATACTAAATCCTGCACTAATTACATTGGTTCTCCCCTGCTTATATAGTACTCTTGGCCAGTGCGGAAACAAATCTGGTTCTGCAGAAGTAGGAAAAAGGGAACTCAATTTATCCTTGATTTTGTACCATTTTCCAATCTATTTCTATGTTCCTGAAATCTCTATCAACAAGCAAAAGCAAGCTAATTATTCTGGTGGAATTCTGGTTTAAGGATTTCTTGGAACCACCTTCTATTTGATTTTGAATGTTAGGAAAAAAAAGAAATCTATCTGTGCATGGTACGAAACAAGCAAGAGGTGTTTAATCTTCCAGTTAAATCACTTGGCCACTGTTAGGTAAAGTAACATAGTGCTAAAACTTCCTTGGAGCTGAAATTGCAGCAATAGTTAGGTACTAAGAGCAAGATTAGGTGATACAGTGGTGAAAGTGCTACTGTCTATGAGATCTTACCTTTTACTAACTGTTCTCAGCATTGCAGCTGAATCTGGCTCTGGTGGATGTTTTTTTTGTCCAGTCCTGCACCCACCTTCTAACAAAAGGTCACAGTAGAACTGCCATCAGCTCAGTACTCAGCAGCTGTCAAAAGGCAAACGTAAATTTAGAGATTATTAAGAAGGAAATTGTAAACAAAACTGGAAAGTATCATTATGCCCCTTGATAAATCCATGGTGCATCCACACTTTGAATATTGTGCCCAGTTCTGGCCCCCACACCTGAAAAAAGATATAGAAGGACTACAGAAGGTACAGAGAAGGGCAGCAAAGATGATGAGTAATATGGCGGGGCTCCCATATAAGAAGAAACTAAAAAAGCTAGACTTATTCAGTTTAGAAAAGAGACACTTGAGGCAGGGGACATAAGGGTTTACAAAATACTAAATGGTAAAGAGAACTTAAATAGGGATTTTTAATTTTTTTACTGTCTCTCACAATATAAGACCCAAGGATCATGCAATGAAACTAGCAGGTAGTAAGTTTAAAACAAACAAAAGGAAGATCTTTTTCACACAGTGGGTGCATCTGCATGTGTCTCTTAAGCGGGCTTAGCTAAAAATTGCTATTTTTAAGGTGCATTAAGGACATGTGTCTACACATGTTCTTAATGTGCTTTTAAAATGGCAATTGAAGGCTATGTGAGCCTAAATTTGATACCTGCATTAAAGCAGGTATCAAATTTAGGCACAAATACCTAAGTTGCATTAAAACGCATGTAGATGTGCCAATGCACATTAATGCAGTGTGTGTCAGTGGACACGCACTGTGTTAATGCACATTAGCACGTCTACATGTGCACTAATGCAACTTGGCTATTTGTGCCTAAATTTAATCTGCCTTAATGCGCATTAGTGCATCCATATGTAGGCGTGTGCCTAAATTGCCTTAATGCGCCTTAAGTAAACGCACATTAAGTTTAGGCGGTCACAAATACACATGTAGACAGGCCCAGTATGTAATTAATGTGTTAAACTAATTGCCACGAGATGCTGTAGAGCTAACAGTTTAGCCTGATTCAAAAAAGGGATTGGACAAATTCTTGGAGGAAAGGTGCATCAGTAGCTATTGAGCATGGGAATTAGGGGTATAGCTTCTGAATCAGAATTTCCTAAACCTTAAATACTGGAGGCTGCAAGTGAAAGAGGAGCAGTGGATAAAATCCTGGTCATACCCAGTTTACTGTCCCTTTCAGTATCCACTCTCTATCACTGTGTGACACAGGATATTGGGCAAGATGAACCTATGGTCTGCCCCGGTAAATAGCAGTTCTTATGTTCTTACATAGTGGTAACACAGCAGCCTGGAGAGAAATACAGAGAACAGTGGTTCTCAGCTAGCTGTCTCTCCATGCTACCACCACTGCCAGACAGAACTGTCCTGTATGCCTCTGTTTCCAGGAAGTATGTGTGGGGCCTGACCAGAAAAACATCCACCAGAGCAAGATATACCTGCTCCTGCTGCAGTCACTTCCCAATCCAGCTTGGCATGCACTTGGCAGTATTGCAGCGTTGTTGGAAGGGTATTGTGGTACCCAAGGTTTCTGTAGCACCCTGGTTCAGAACCGCTGACATAAAAGTTACTAGATATTTTTTTTAATCAAAGACTAAGTAATGTGAATAGTTGTGCTGTTGACTTCAAAATGAGAGCATTTACATTCTTAAATTTGTTGTATCAGGATCTATTTGAATATCAAATTGCTTAATACAAGCTCATCAATCTTTTACAAAACGACACCATATTGCTCCAAGGGTCATCCCAGACCAAAACCTCATTAAGCTGCAGGTAAGGTTTAGTGTACTATCAGTAATTTATATGCCAAAACCGTCAATCTAGTACTTTTCTCCTGAAGATGATTCTACTTCTTACAAAAAGA